GGCGCTGCCTTTCCCGGAAGGGCGTGCTCGGGAAGTTACCTTCACTATTACGATCGCTTTATCCCAATAACCGAAGTCAAATCCAGGCTTACGGCACTTTTTCGCCCGAGTTCGCCATGGAATGTGGTGTTCGTCAGGGTTTTCCTCTCTCCTCTTCTATCCAACTTTGTTGTAGATTTGATTATGGAAACAGCCGTATCCTAGTGCGAGAACAGCGGCATCGATTTACTTCCGGGTCGCAGACTGGTTGATCTGGAGTATACAGACGACATTGTGCTGCTAAGCTAAAATCCAGGTAAGTTGCAAGCTTTTTGGGTAGCTTGAGCGCCAGCATAGCCATGTTCGGTATGCGTTTTGCACCTTTAAAGTGTAAAATGTTACTGCAAGACTGGGTTGGCCCAGCACCTAGCCTCACTCTAACTGGGTTAGTAATAGAGCAGGTGGATAAGTTTTGTTATTTGGGCAGCTACATCTTACCATGTGGACGCATCACGGATGAAGTGTCAGCTCGCATAGAGATGGCTCGGTTGGCATTTGCTAACTTGAGCCATCTGTGGCGCCGTCGCGACATCCGGCTGTCTGGGAAGGGTCGAGTGTATGCTGCAGNAGCAGTTTTGATATATGGAGCAGAAACTTGGTCACTAAGAAAACAGGATAAAGATAGGTTGTCGGTGTTTGAACACCGCTGTCAACACGGCGTTGCACAAATCTGGTAGGGCAGTCGGACGAGCAGTGCTGACGTTAGGAGCAGAATTTTGGGTAACGGCGGTCGCCCACTGAAGCAAGTGGTTACGCAAGTGGTGTTACGCATGTCACTAGATAGGTTGCCGTAGCGAGCGATGTTCGCCGAGGTGGATAGTGAGTGGAAAAAGCCAAGGGCGGTCAAGCTAAGACCTGACACGAGGGTTTGAAAACTCTAACCAGGGGACTGGGCCCTTTAGGCTCCCTGGATAGGGACCTCGGGATGATCGTAACCGATTGTTTGAGATACTGAGTGATATGGCTGGGTGTCGTAAACAGTGACGTTCGTGCATCTGCTCAATTTCTTTGCAACCTTGGATCACTGAAATTCTCCATTTTCTATTCGACTCTGCTTTCAACTTTCCTGTTTTACTCCTATTCCACATCCAATTAGGCAGCCAAAAGACAGCAACCAAAACCGGCGCACGAAAGTGCATGGTCAATGGTTGTACAAACCGAACTGCACTGGACTCTTGTCATTTCTTATCAGTCCAGAATGCTTGAAACGGTGTGTATACACAGTTAGGCTGTGCACTATTTGTGTTAACCACAAAGGTTCGCTTTCTTTCCTCTCCCTCGAACTAGGCCCAATCACTAATCTTGGATGCGTTGAGAGTTTAGCAGAGATCAGTGAATTTCGCTTCACGGTATTTTGCTGTACGCTGATGATGTCTCTCGAACTGTAAGGTTCACCCATACTCTTCTCATCGCAACGGTAGTTTACTGGAAGTCAAGGCTAGAATATAATCCGTGAGTATTACAATTGTTATGGTTTTCTTCTACCATAAAGATGGTACATTAGTACCGTATTTTTATAGTGTCATACGCATTAGGTTTATTCTATATCACTCGTTCAAATAAGAGATGCAATATATCAGAGCCCAGGTTGTCTTTTACGTCTAGTTTCGCTTCAATGATCCGGCAACAACTTCAGAAACATGATGGTGTTTATTTACAGGTAGGATGTTTATCATCCAATTCTCAATTCGCAGCCCCATTTGTACCCTCAATCTCACGGCTTGCATGCAAAAACGAACNATCAGTGATTCACTCCAGGATGATGGAATGCGCTCGTGTAACCAGATGTTACGCATTGAATCAGAAATGGAGTTTACAAGATCATCGCTCTCCATCTTAAAAAGAGTGTGAGGAAGCCCGTCAGGTCCTACTTTTTCTTTCTTCAGGGCTTAGATGCAAGATTGAACTTCTGCTGCGGTAGGAGGTTCAGATGACGCTGCCCACGGAGCCTTAGCTACATCGGAGGAGATAGCCTGGTTAGCGCCTGGCCAGCTGAACTGTTCGTTGGAGTACTCCGCCCACCGGTCAAGCCGTTGTTCCCTACTGTGAATAGCTTGTCCACTTTTGTCGCAAATTGTTTCCCTAACTGTGGTTCGATGACCTCCCGTATTGCTTATCAGTTGGAACAGTCTTTGACCAATCCCTGATGCAGCTGCTACTTCCATTTCACTAGCTATCATTGCCCATCAGTTCTCACAATTTTTCTTGCGGCTGTTCGTGAGTTGGCGTTTTAGGTGTCACCTAACCCTGCCTTGGTCCCGGGAGTTCGGGATTGGACGCTTTCTTTCCATCAGGGCTACTGACTCA